GCTTGAAAGCAAATCTCTTCCAAGCTTGCTTTTCTTCTACCAGTTCATCTGACATTGGAAACAAATTCAAAGGCAGCAAATCCAGATTCCTGATGATTTACCTTGCTGGAATGAAGTTGCTGAATTCTTTGCTATCTTGTTAATTGTCTAATCTGTACTGATCTCACCAGTGGTTCATGACAATACAAAACAATGACCTAATGACAGTTACTGTTAGCTCATTTTGAGTAAGGTATTCTTGTTTCTGCTACATGGAGAGGTAGCAGTAACAGTGGCCAACTGCGTGACTTCAGCAGCAGCTCCATGAATACTACAGAACAGCAGTCACACATCACAACATTCATATCATCAGCACAAACTTGCACTTGCCAGAGAAGCTGCTGACCCAAGAAACCTCAGGGGAATACTGAGCACCCTGCAGAAAAACAAGAAATAGTCAAACACAACTAAAGCTCAAAAGTTTCCACCAGCGTACATCAGTTGCAACCCAGTGAAATCCAAGAAATATTGTCAGAAACATTGAAATATCTTTTGATTTCAAAGTATGCATTTTCAAAGATGTTTGTGATGGAATCTGTAGTGATGGCAACTACATAGATTTCTATGGCACTAAACTCAGGTCCTGTCTTAATAAAATCTTAAAAAGACCAACAATCAGCAGGAGATGCTTTAAATGAAGAGCGGGATTTTCAAAGCTAATTATTGCAGAAGCAGAAAGCTTGTCAGTAACAGAAATCTTACCACTGTTACCACAGAAAGTGATCAGCTGAACCCTTTGATGCTAGTTTTTAAGTTCTTACCCTCAGAATTTCACTATATTAAAAACAAAAAGCAAAACAGGATCATTTGCAGTCACATTCAGCAACCTGCTTGGCAATTAAACAACTGATCGGTTTTTCTGGACATGAAGGGCTTTACCTGCATTGTTTTCCTTGTACTTCCTGAATCCCTTCTGCAGGTGAACTGTGCACCTAAACACAGTGTCTGAAATATTCTCATTTTACAACCTTACCAGACACTTGCCAAATTTCTGTGAGGATTTATCTGCCAGGAGGAGTTTATTACTGCTACATTCCAGCATCCAGCTCTATTTGTACCTTGCACATTAACTGTGTGAGTTATGAAAGCATTTAAGTATCAACTTCTATAAAATTCACTATCTACACGGTGGAGCAGTTTTGGTTTTATTTCTTTTGAGGGACTTAGCTCTGGTACCATTGTTAGGGAGCCATGATGCAGGTGGAGGATGTGAGCAGTTGCTATAGCATCTGCTTCCAACCAGCTATCCCCAGGGCACACTGAGATCACTGGGGAAGCATCGCAGGAACTCTACACACCAGTGAGAGTGATGACTTTTGTATTTATTTATTTCACTGGTTAAACCTTTGATAGACTTCTCTGCAGATTTGCTTCAAAAAAAAAAACAACCATCTGAAAAAAAGGGGCTTTTGTTGCAACTTTTTCTCCTGCTTTTTTTTCCAATTTTTTTTTTTTTTCACAGTCATATTCTTAGTTTCTTGGGGCTACTTTACACAGTTGCTATTTTTTTGTTGTTGTTAAGTACATTGAAATGACACACTGGAATATGTGCTAGCCTTTATCTAAACAGCCTTAAATGCTTACATTTTTAAAGGGAGCAGTATTAAACTTCCATTTTAAATGCCAGTCAGTAATAATTTTCAGTCACCCATCAGTCACCACATGCATTTGTCGGTAAGCTTCCAGCAAAACTGAAACACATAAAATGTATCTGAGCCATTTAGTTCCATCATTCCACTATGGGTAAGCTTATACGTTGAAGCTTTACAATATCATTAAAATAGTCAATGCTGCAAGATGTGTAGTTGCAAATGTCCAGCATGATGGAAGGGCACCTTTTGAGAAGTCAGTAATAGTTTTGCTAAAATATAGGTTTGCTAAACACCTCACCATAGCAGTTAACAATTGTACACTTCCATTTTCTGGAAAAATTCCCATCACTAAGATCTTTGACACTAAACATTTTTTATAATGTTTTACGCTCGTTTTCGTTCCCATAAGAAAGGCAGTCTTACAATATGATGTAGTCACTGAAATCTAGAAAGCATTACCAACACAGCAATAACAACACAGAAACAGCCTTTTGTATATGATGTGCTCCATTTTTCCAGTGGTTAGAAAGAACTTATTATTCTTTCTAATCAGTCCTACAATCCTCATTCAGTACAGCATTCTCCAAGAATTTCTGAAAGTTGATTGTTGCAGCATTTCTCTCTAGCAATGTACTGCATGGCTCTGTATTTCTAGCAGGCAAATAAATGCTCCCATTGCTTGGATTGCTGACTTGCTTACTGCAGGAATACTTTTTTCTTTTCTCTACATTTCTAGTTGTTTCAGTTCTTCATTTCACATTCCACATTCAGAAAACAAAACTTACTTGCAGTAACAGTTTAGGGTTGTTAACTTTTCCATTTTTCTAATTGCTATGCTTTCAAAACAGCTCTCACCTTAAAAGACAGAATTCTGCAGGAATACAACACCTGTTTATGAAGCAAGGCGCAGAGTGAATCAGCAGGCTGGATGATACAAGGGATCATCCTTTCTGAACAAACAACACACAGTAGTGACAAGGCTCATTTCAATAAAATATTGCTGGACTCTGACTTCAGCTATTAGCAACATGGGAAATACCCCTAACAACAAAGCATTAAATCAGTTTTAATTAGCCCCCTATATATATAACATTTAAAATGCAGAGCAATAAATTCATGTGGCTACCATAAAAGTCAGTCATTCTTAACAGCCTGCCGTCATTCTAAGAGTAGTGAGGTGGCTGTGGTCTCTTTAATGACCAATATGTAATAAATGAGAACACGTACAGGTTCTCACTAGCACACACTTCATTCCACATGCCCACATCCAGAGAAAAGGCAGGTTCTTCTACAACATCACTGATAGATTAAATACATTTTTATTTCTACAGTTTCAATCAAGATTACAGACCTGCAGGAAAAGAGCATTTTTAACAGAAGTCATACACAAGCAACTAAGAAACTCTCTCCTTTGAATCAGACACTCAAATAACTCAATTTAAAATACTATGCCTGTTTCCCCAAATGAAATCTATTTTTAAATAAATTTGTATCTAACAACAACAACAAAAAATCTTTGACAGAATGCAGTTTTGCAGAATAGCTGATGTCAGAAAACCATTAAATCTGCATCTCTGTATAAGCTCTAACCGGCACCATAGGTGTACCTGCTGTATCTGTTACTGCCATTTTGGCTGTGGGCTACAGGGACAGTGGAATCCTCCACTTCCCTTATCTATTTGGGAAGTGCATCTTGTGAAAGGTTGACAATTTGATTACACATCATGTATACCTTTGTGCACACCTACAATCACCCATTCTAGTGCTACAGATGGTGTAGAGTCTGGAGGGCAATACATGTGAGGAGCTGCTGAGGGCCCTTGGTTTGCTCAGCCCAGAGCAGAGGAGCTGAGGGGAGGCCCAATGGCCGCTGCAGCTCCTCACAGGGAGCAGAGGGCAGCGCTGAGCTCTGTGTGACAGCGACAGGGGAGGGAACGGCATGGAGCTGTGCCAGGGGAGGGCCGGGTTGGGGTTAGGGACAGGGTCTGCAGCAGAAGGCGGTGAGCATGGAACAGGCTGCCCAGGGCAGTGGGCACAACCGAAATCCATAGTTCAAGAAGTGTTTGGACAATGCTCTCCGACATAGGCTTTGAATTTTGTGTGATAGGGGCAGGGGTTGGACTTGATGACCCTTGTGGGTCTGTTCCAGCTTGGGATATTGTGTGATTCTATGACTTTTGTGACAGCTGTGGCTGGAAGCTTTGATTCCAAGTGTTGGCATAGTGAAAAGAAAACAGGAACACTGACTGGAGGCATGGGCGTTGCTAGGAAATGAAATACAGACGACCCAGTTCTATGAAGTGTATATTTGGATGTTGGTGTCTCAGAAGTTAAAGGACACTAAAAGCAATGGAAGAGGCATTTTTCTCAGTAGGAAAGAAAGAGGAGGTGGCAAAAGCCCTGAGAAGCACCCGGAAGCTTTCTGAGCCTCCAACCTGAAGAAGGAGGGCTTAGTGCCACATGTTAATCAAAACCAAAGCAGTCCCTCAGTGCTGCCACAGCAGCATTGGTGCTTACAGACACTGGTGGCAGCGCACTGTGCTGTCTGTATTTGATCAGGCTGGGACCTATAGAACGTGAGAGAAAAAGATCTTTGAAAAAAATATTACTTTCATATTCATCACATGCAACTCCTCTACCTTGAGCACCATGAATAAAGCTGTGGACAGGTTCTTAAAGGCAACTAAGAAACCTGTAACACAATATCAAAGCCCTAAGCTTAATTGTTGATAATAGTTCCGTTTTTCCCCACTTCAAACTTGATTCCTAAACTACTATATTAAAAATAAGTACAAAATATAATATTGCAAATCATAACCTGTTTTTCCATAGTTTCATATCCAAGACAGACAAATTAGCACAGGAGATGTTATTACTAGCAATCAAAGAACACAACACATTTGGAATATGAGGTTACACATAGGAAAAGCTCTCAAATTCATTCTTCTTTTCAAGAAGTCTTCTTAACTCAGGGCCTCCAAAGCAGAGGTATGACATGGAATATAAATACCACTTGGGCACACAGTACAGTTTTGATTTGTTTTACAAACTGTTGAATTCCCCAACCAGCCTCAATCCAATATGTATTAAAAATAAGTCAGCTTGACTGAAAACGCAGTTCTGTTGTATGAACCAAGTTGCCTCTGCTCTCTTTTCAATCTTGAGGCAAAACTGTCAAAGCTTGAAACAGAAACACAATGACGGCATCACACACAACTTAGTAATTCAAAAAGTTCACAAATGTTAGCACTCAGCAGAAATATTCTTTCTTATAGTTATGGAAGTGTTCTACTGATTCTAAAATGCCTCTGACGTCTGTCATTTTGAAATACCCGCATTCAATTCTAGAGACTATGAACTTGATGCTAGTAGAATTGGTAGTTTTATTGTGTTATTTGCTACCATACAACTCATGGACAAAGCGTTATCAGACAACTGAAGTGCTTTTTTGATTCGATTAGTTAACCAAAAGTTCTGAGATTCAAAAGATCTCCCAGGTCACGGTCTTTCTCTGGATGGTAACGTTCCCCACCAGACTTCTTAAAAACTCCAGTTATAAGTAACATAAGCAATGAAGCATTTGACACATACCTTGGGAAACCTTCCCATAGACTAACAAGAAATTGTTTTTCCTGAGTAGAATTGTAATGTCATTTCATACCATTGTGCATTCTCGTGGAATTGAGGAGATAGAGTCCTCAAAGATAACCTGGAAAAAAGGAGTTTGTTGAACTACACAGAAAAGTGTATAAAAGCAATTCAACTGTGAATCGTGTTGATAACAAGGAAACCATGAAGGTAAGAGCTAACTTAAGACAAAGAAGCAGCTTCCCAGCTCTCTATTCTCCATCAACTTGAAAAAGTCACAGATCCATGTGGATGGTTCCTAAGAAAGAATTCAGTATGAGAAGAAAGCTTGGGTTAAAATTCTACAAATATACTTTTGGGAAAAGAACTAATGCTTCCTCAGCACCATTAACTTCCCACTTTCCAGAACAGAAGAAAAGCACTGTAAAAGGTATTACAGTCTTGAAGCAGTATCAGCCATGGTATCTTCCCACTTCTTCTTGTAAAGAACTGAAACTATTGTACTATACAAACTACAGCAGTTTAACAGAACTCTGATCCTGAGAACACCCCATGAAAAGATGTTGCCAAGGGAGATATCATAGAATAGCTAATTTCAACTATAATGATTTCTTTTTCCCCTCACAACTTAATAAATAGTATTTTTTATCTTACATATCCTATAGCTAAATATTTATTCATTTATTTATATTTCTCTCACCTTCTAAATTGCTAGCAGGAACTGGTGAGAAATCAGTTCAGAGTATTAGCGCCAAATGTGTGAGCAGACAGCTATTTTGACAATGCTACAAACATAACACAACTTCAAAGCAAAAAGAAGAACTCATGAAAGAAGATGCCATATGAAAGGAGACAAGAGAAAGCATTTCACAGTCATCACTGAAGTTAGACAAAAAGAAACATTTGTAATCTAAAAAAGATATACATTAAGTTCAAAATAACAGATACCTTCTGGGAAATATTTAGTACCACTGCTGTCAGAGACACTTGCAAGTAAAAATACAGGGAGGTGGATGCAAATTTGACCTCTGTCCTTCTTCAGAATCTCAGAATCAACAAAAACAAAAGAGAGGCATTAGCAATTGCCAGCAAAATCCATAAACTAAAGGCCAAATCCATTTAGAAAACATAAATAATTTTTTAATTAATAAAAAAGAAGGGTAGATGAACTCATTGATTTCACGTGTCTTTATCCACAGCCTCCTTCCGGCGCTGGGTCCGGAAATGACGCTCAATGTTTATCGTTACTTCCCTTTGCAAATTTCTGTTGTTAGTTTTTCCAGCTGTTCTGATCCAAGGATGCTGAAGTACTTGCCGTGCTGTGTAGCGCTTCTGGGGATCCACTATCAACAGCCTGGTAATGAGGTCTTTTGCTGCTGTTATGAAATAAAGAGGGGAAAAGAAAAGCAATGTTATGATTCTGAGAGCTACGCCTAACAAAAAGGTCCTCATTTTTCTTATTAGTTTTATCATAATGCGTGTTCAAAGAAGGGCAACAAAGCTGTGAGGGGTCTGGAGCACAGGTCTTATGAGGAGCAGCTGAAGGAGCTGGGATTATTCAATCTGGAGAAGAGGAGGCTCAGGGGAGACCTCATTGCTCTCTATAACTATCTGAAGGGAGACTGCAGTGAGCTGGGGGTCGGCCTCTTCTCTTGTGTAACTGGTGATAGGACCAGAGGGAACGGCTTCAAGCTGTGCCAGGGGAGATTCAGGCTGGATGTTAGGAAATAGTACTCCTCTGAAAGAGTGGTCAGGCACTGGAATGGGCTGCACAGGGAGGTGGTGGAGTCACCGACCCTGGAGGAGTTCAAGGAACATCTGGATTTTGTGTTGAGGGACATGGTGTAGTGAGAACTATTGGTAAAAGGTGGATGGTTGGACTGGATGATCTTGTATGTCTTTTCCAACCTTGGTGATTCTGTGATAATGATATTTTTTTAATGGCCATCCCCCGGAGTATTGTAGCAACTGGATCTAGAACTAGTGACAGGAGATGTTAGAACTCCAGTACATTCTTTACTGATTCCAATCTCCCCTGAGCAATGACAGAAGAAAGGGAAGGGAATTTAATCGTGAAGGCATCCTGAAGGCATGTGGCTAGGTGTTCTAATTCATAGGAATTAGCATTGGGTATCTTGTCCCTCAAAGAACACAGAAGTCATACAGCACTGTTGAGCACGGTTTCTAAAAGATAACAGGAGAGGTGGGTTTTTGGGGTGTTGGATTTTGAAGAGTGCAGAAAAGACACTACTAGCCTGCAAGAGGAAAGAAACGACCTCAAAAATTATCTCCACAGAAAACTCACACTGCGTTCTGCAGAGCAAGAACTTGATTCTCAGCTTTTGAGATTCTTTTACACACATCTTTACAATAGTGCAACATAAGCCTGAAGATAATTTTGATGCCTTTTGTTCTTCAGGGGCAATTCTTACAAGTAAGGTGAGCAAAATCTTTGTTCTTGCCTCAGAAAGGGAGCAATCTGTTGTATAAATCAGACCTGATATTCATATTCACAGCAGATGCTACTTTGAGAGGATTAAATTCACACGTAAAACATGTAATCATATAAAACAAGCCTGTAATATACTCCAAAATCCACCAAAATCACTGTTCTGAAGAAAAGAGGAGTTTAATGTGTTCAAGCCACTCTAGGTAAGAGCTTTATCAATTTTCAGAACTGGTATACATGAATCTTACCTGCAGAAATATTGTCCCAGTATGGGGAAAGGAACTCATAGTGACCCAGCTGTATGATTTGAAACAGCTCTTCTTGATCACGCTCCTGACTGCGAAATGGGGGAAAACCACAGAGCAGAATGTAAAGGATCACACCAGCTGCCCACATATCTACTTCGAGCCCATAGCCTAAGGAAGAAAAAACAAATCACAGCTAATTACCTTTTACTGGAAGTTTTGGTGTTTTATTGGGGTGTTTTCTGGTTGTTTTAGTTGGTTTGGTTTTTTTTTTGTTTGGTTTATTTTACTTTTTTGAGGGAGGGTGGGGAAGAGGAAAGAAGACAGTGAAAAAAAACAACCTTCTTCTCATAATTGGTAAGGAACTATTTCTTTTTTCATTCCATCCTCAAAGAAACAGAGAAGCTTTGCCCAGTTTCTAAAAAAGATGAGGTCAGCAGAAGAATAAGAGGCTGGTACACCACACTTGCAAGCTGATCCTCCCTGTTAATAATCACAGTTCTCACACAATGCCTCTCTTCTCCAGCATGTTTCACAAGTGTTATCTAACAAGACCAGAGTCAACTGGGGATTAATTGAGAAACATGCAGGATATATTTCTGAAATAGCACTCTCATTATTTTTAAAAAGAAAAAAAAGAATTAAGAGAGTGCCAAGTTTCCACTGAAATGTAATGTAGTATGAGATGTGCAACCCAGCTCCACAGAACAAGACACAGAAATAGCTTTTCTTGAGTAATTAATAAAAATTGACTCCTTTCCAGGTCTGAATCTTTCTGGATATTAAATACCAAAAATTCTCTCTGATGTAAACCATGCTTTGGTCTGTGAAATAAGTTTAACATACACGTTCAACATCCTTGTGCACTATTACAGGGCCTTGAAAAACTGTTTGAGTTACAGACACGAAACAAGGGTGACCATCCTAATGTTCCAAGATAAAATTTTGCTTCTTTCCCCAATTTCAGCAATTGTTATCTATGATGCTGTAATGCTTTGTCTGCTTCAAACGCCTTATCTGCTTCAAAAATCACAGCTATATATCACATAGACCTTAATAAAGAAAATATGACTGATACCATGCTTGTATTTGTCAAAAGCTAAGAAATGTTTTATTCTTTCATAGATTTTGCTGCTAGCCAACCTACCAGTAGGTTGAAACATTCTGGAATATTTCCATGACTACAAGGTTAGAAGTAATTTTATGACTTGCCAGAAATCAGATATTTATACACTCACCCTTCTCAGCAAGTATCTCAGGGGCAACATAGGTTGGTGTTCCACACACAGTAAATATGGGTTTTGTAACCAGCTTTGCAAGGCCAAAATCTGCTAGTTTCAGTGTAGTAGACTTATCTGCGTTGTGCTGAACCTATACTCAATGAAAAAATAAATATTTAGTTTGCAGGCATTTCAAGATTGCCTGGTAGATAAAGGAAGTAGTACTTTTATAGTAAAGAGTAAGAGGTTCCAGTAACGGTACCTGCAAGTAAAAGAGAAAGAAATGGAAACCACATTTTGACAAACAGTATTCAGAAACTTTTCTCTTTCCACATAAATAGATGGCACATGTAGTTAGGAGGAAAAGCACTAATGGAAAAGGACAACTTTGCTCTACAAGTTCTGGCACACATTTCCAAGAAATGAAAAGGAAGAAGACCGAAAACAAAGGGGAATGAAGCACAGATTTATTTTTCCCTTTAGGAAAGTGAAGAGGAAAACTGTGGGCCTCAAGATGTACCAAGACAGGTTTAGAGTAGGCATTAGAATTTCTATACAAAAGGAATGGTCAGGTGTTGGAATGGGCTGCTCGGGGAAGTAGTGGAGTCCCCACCTCTGGAGAGGTTTAAGAGATACATCTAAGCTTCAGTGAAGGACACGGTTTAGCGATGGGACTTGCTAAGTTAGGCCCATGGTTGAACTTGATGATCTTGAAGGTCTTTTTCAGCCCAATTCTATGATTTTATAAAAGTGATATTTCCAAACACGCCACAGATTTTATGCAGACATCTGAAAAGTTTACCTGCATTGCAGGTCTAAAGTGAGAAATAGGGTTGAAGGAAGTGTTTTATTTTCTTTCCAAATTACTCTGCAAATACCTGCTGCCCTGAAAATAAGAGTCACCGTAATCACACAGTAAGAGCAGGAAAAACTGATCCAACAGAATGCTCTCCAACACGCCTTTCCAGCAGTTTCCACCTCCTGCATCCACACAGATTCTGTGTGCATGAGTGTTTAGCATTAATTTGTAATGCAGCTAATGAAACATTATTTTGAGAGAAAGTACTGAAAGGTCAAGTCATGAATAAGGTAGCAGGATAATCAAACACATCGGTATTTTTAATGCTGGTTACTGAAACTCAAATATTCTTTAAGTAAAAACAAAAACATTTTTAATGAGAAATTACCTGTCTCTAACTGCGAGGCAAAAGGACTTCACATGACTACAGGAAAACCAAGAAAATCTGTTTTCAGGTTTTGAACACACAGAGCAGAATATGATGTGACAGAAATGCTTCAGGCTTTAACACCTCATACTTTGCCATCAGGCAGTGCTTGAGGCAGCCAAAAATTCAAGATGCTCATTTATAACTAGGGGTACAGACAGGATAAAATTTGCACTGCCCTACATTACAGCCAATTAATTCCCATTTATCTTCCTTACAGAAGCTGTAAGCACTCTTCCAGTTCTAACTAAACAAAAACTTTCGAGGTTTTTTCCTGTTTAAAGAAAAAATGAAGTGTTTCTCAGTGTGAAGAAGAGCTGTGCAGACAAAGCTTCCGTAGGAGAAAGATAAAATGCTACCTTCTCTTTTATTGAATTTGTTAATTTCATGAAGGTTTTTTTTGTCATCACACAATGCAGGCTCCACAGCTAACAAAAATGAAAAACAACTAACAGTTATTTTCTAGAGCAGCATCTATCCACAAAATCAATATTTTAATCATGTGGTCAACAGTGGTAGAAAGTTACCAAAAAAAAATCACAATTGAAATACTCAATTTCATTTGTGCTACGTGAGCACAAATACACTTTTTGACCATGTATATGAGGATTTTCAAATTACATAAGGAAATGATGTCACACATGGAATTTCTACTAATATCCTGCACTGCACCAGCACTAATAACCCTGGAAAGTTTATACAATTGAGTTTTTTGGTTTGTTTCTTTTAATCAAATCAGCAAGGGGAGAATATACAGGTCTGAAGTCCAACCTGTAAAAGCCAGTAGTAATTTTGCTTGAAATATACAGTTACACTTTTTACAAGAAAGCCATAGCCCTAATCTCACATCGGAGCACAAGGTGGCAATACTGCACCACATGTTTGTGAGCACAAAAATCACTGAACTTTCCTTTTACTTCACCGAACAGCCAGGAACACCATGCGACGCAGATATATTTTCACAGCTTTATGATAATAATTTCTAAGACAGCATGAAATCTGTCAGCATGTCTGGAAACCTCAGCATAGAACTCCTCAGCATCCTCACTCAAAATAACTCAAGGGCAGCACAGACCAATTGGGCATACACTTCATCCCAAATGTTGTGTTCTCCAGTTCACCTTTCCATCACCTGGCAGCAAAACAGAAACTGAGGCAAATATGCTTTTTTCAAAGAAAGGCTTCTCAGGATATTCCCTCTTGAGCGTTTACTTACAGAGTAACACAGAAATCTCTTCTCAAAAGAGATCTAACCCCTGACTTCTGCCATATATGCTTTGAAATGGTGCAAAGCAAAAACTCTAACATTAGAGGGTCATACTGCCTTTACCACGATACCTGTTACAGCATCTGTATTCAAGACTACACAAAAACGGTTCCACAAGTTCTTTCAAAAGTGCTGCCTCATCTTACCTGCCTAAAGAGCTAACTGAGATGAGGAAGAGCAGCATTCAAATACACTTTGTCAACAGATGGCCAGCTTAAGCCAAACAAGTACTTGTGCCATTCAGCTGCAAGGTAAGCCAGCAGTGGTAGCCCCAAATCAAAGGGAATCAGAAATGCTTGCTACTCTCTTGAACACAGGATATCCAAATATTGTCTGTGGATTTCTAGCCATACACCTGAAAGATTGTATTATACTAACACAAAACAAAGCTTGTTTTCAAAAAGGGATAAATCTGGTCTTTTCCTTTTTTTCCTGTTTGCTGATAACTCCAAAGTTCTTGTTTGTTTTCACATCTACATTGGGAAATCCATCAGGGTGTTTAAAAGAGGACTTAAAACATTAATATTCCTCTTTATGCATGTGTGTTTAGTAGTCCAGATCCTCATATCAACATAATGAAATCAAGCTGATCCATGGGACTTCTTGTCTATTACAACAAGAGCTAAGGAAAAAGCACTTCTTACGCATTGGAGCTTTCAGTCATCCCACACTGGTAGACAGAAGAATCTCTCCATCTCTCACGAAGAAATATCTCAGAAAATAAGCTGCCTAGCTTTATCATACTGAAAGCACCCAGCAGGACACTTTTTTTCTTTTTTTAATGTCTTTATCAATGACTTAGACAGGCATACTGAGCACACCCTCAGCAAGTTTGCTGATGACACTAAGCTGAGCGGTGCAGTTCATGAGATTCAACAAGGCCAAGTGCAAGATGTTGCACTTTGGTCGAGGCAATCCCAGATATGCTACAGACAGGGAACAGAACTCATTGAAAGCGGCCCTGCAGAGAACTTGGTGGTCCCAGTAAATGAAAAGCTTGACATGAGCTAACATTGTGCATTTGCAACCTACTGAATCCTGGGCTGTGTCAGAAAAGGGGTGGCCAGCAGAGCAAGGGAGGTGACTGCCCCCCTCTGCTCTGTCCTTGTGAGGCTTCGTATAAATCACTTGTGTCCAGGCTGGAGCTACCAACACAGGAAGGATGTGGAGCTTTTGCAACAGGCCCATAAGAAGGCCGTGAAGATGATCAGAGTGCTGGAGAAACTCTCCTACAAAAAACGGCTGGGCTTGTTCAGCTTAGAGATGAGAAGGCTCTGGGAAAACATCAGTGCAGCTTTGCAGTATTTAAAGGGAGCTTATAAGCAGCAGGGAGATTGACTTTTTACAGTCTGATAGTGAAATGACAAAGGGGAACGGCTTTAAACTAAAAGAGTGGAGGTTTAGATTAGATATTAGGAGATCTTCTAGAGGGTGGTAAGGCACTGGAACAGGTTGCCCAGTGGATGCCCCATCCATGAAACCTATTTAATGCCAGGCTGGATGGAGCTCTGGGCATCCTGAGATAGCAGTTGGCAACTCTGCCCACAGCAATGGCATTGGAACCAGATGACCTTTAAGGGCCATTCCAACCCAAGCCATTTTCTGATTCTACAGTTAAACAGGATTTTAACTCCAATGCACTTGGAAAACTGTGACAGCGTTTTTTGTATTTGTAAATAGTGTCACAAAACCAAAGTCACTTCATAAAAAGGTTATGCTTCACAGTGTCATACACATGAAAACATGAAGAAAAAAGGAGGAGCAGGAAGAGAAAGAAACTCAAACTCATAAGCAGCTACAACACTGTTACTGTGCTTGGGACTGGTACAAGGATATAAGTTTACGGTCACAAATACAGAAATATGCATGCCCAACATCAAAAAAAGGGGACAGGGATGTGGCTTTACATTTTCTATAATTTTAACCTGGAAAAAGATTCTCTACACTAAGTTTCTGACCCACAAGACCACCTGTGACATTAAACAGCAGCCCCTTAGCTAAAAATCTAGTTAGGAAATTCCACTCCCATGCATTTCCAGTTAGCCCTAAAGAGGGGCCCACCTTATTTTGTGAGACCAAATACACCACACTGCAGAAGCTTGGTAGCAAAGGCTTTCTTGCTGAACATTTAATCCTACGCCAGGTGATTCTGTTAGTGGAAAGGGTGGGTTTCAAAGCAGGTGTCTTCACACCAGCTGTCACACAGATTTTGTTTTGGTAGCACAAGTCACCACCTTTCTGCCTCACAGCTATGCTGCAAGGAGTTTGAAAGCTGTGAGCAGACACAGTAATGAAAGACGGAGGGAGAAAGGCAAAAAGGATACTGGAGGGCTGTCACGGAAGTCTTTAACTAGAGAATATTGCCATAAGAGCAACAGGAATAGCACAGCAAACCAGTAAAATCAGGTTTCAAGTTCCTGTGTGAACAATTTCACAATTCACTAGACATCAAAGTATATTTGCACCTTTTCCTCTGTAAGGAGGGAAATAGTTTCTCTTCTTTCCCTGGCTGCTTATTTTTAATCAAACCTCTGGACTAGATTAGATTGGATATTAGGAAGAACTCCTTCACAGATAGGGTGATGAGGCATTGCAACAAGCTGCCCAGGGAGATGACAGTTGCCATTCCTGTAGGTAATCAGGAGCCATGTGGACATGGTATTAAGGGAGAGGGTTTAGAGGAGGAATTCTTAGTGTTAGGAAATGGTCAGACTTGATGACCTTGAAGATCTTTTCCAACCTAAATGATTCATTAAAAAAGTAAGGGCCTATTTCTGTCCTCTGTGCACAAATTGCCTAGGGAGACCAACCGAGACAGAAATCTGTGGTGTAACAATGTGACGTGAAGCAAGAGCTATCCCAGAACCAAGGACAAAAAGGAGACATTGCAGGATGTCAGCACTTCCAGCAGACAGCTTCCAGCCCTTCGCCCAATAACAGCAGATAAACCCATAAAATTTGCTTCACAAATGGTCGTTATGGTTCAGTTCTGGCTGTCACTAAGCTCAACTGGAGGTGTCCTTCTACTCTAAGGAGTCAGCACACTAAAATTCAAAAAGCCAGAAACCTGCTCAAATGGCCTGTATTTTTAGGGGCACTTCTTAGATATCTGATGAGCTAGCCAATATTACCAACAATCTACAGAATCATTTGACTTTTTGAATATACTAACTTAAAAAAAAAAAAGCTGTTTCTGAAACAGCTATTCAACCAATTAACAAACAAGGGGAAACCGGAAGAGGTAAAACGTTCTTTCTTGTTTTGTTTGTAATGCAATTCTTACATGACAAAATACCTCAACAGTGGGGGGGCAAGGCTGTCCTTGAAATACATTTTCTGTGCTTTCAGCCAGAGCAGGCAACAAAATGACTTCTGTACTACAAAAATTCGCCACTGCTCATGGATCTTTGTATGGCAGTGCTGTGAACTACAAGTGAAAACCATCAGATGAGACCCGAACCATGCCTCTCTTTACACTTATTGTATCACTGTGAAGATTACACATGATACACAGAGAAGCATCTGGTCTCATATGTTTCATATGCACCAAATTAATTTCAGTAAAGAGGAAGGAGCAGAACCTGGCTTATAATTGAAAATCAGCTTCTGGAAGAAATTCCTTCAGGTCTGAGTAAAATTTTGCTCTAATAGCAGAACAAGGGAAGATGGCAGGGTCCAGAACCATACTTATTTCTGCAAACCAGCTACTTGCACTCCCTTTTATTTATGCAAACACACCACTTAAGCATTTCGTCAGACTAATCAGAATGTGTAGCAGGACCAAATATAAACACCACTGGTTAATCAAAAGGTCTGGATACAAACCTTACAGGCCCGGCTTTGTTCCACCTTTGCACAGCCTACAGGCTACACTGCTGCCTTTCTCCAGAAATTCACACTTGCTAACATTAATTCCCTTAAGGAACTGACTGGCACATAGGACTAAATTGTCTATTATCCTTTTTTGGCTAACTACAATCTTCCATCAGCAGATCAAATTAGCTCTGTTAGAGAAAAGCAAATATTTGATGACTGCCTGTGATGAATTTTGGAACCTAGGAGAAGAGCGTAACAAATGACTGGCAAGGAACAGTTGTTTATTTTCACACTCCTATAATGGGTGTCATACCAAGAGTCAATATTGAAAACATTTCTGTGCATATTTACATGAGAGTAAGTCTCCTACTTCAGCAAAGAACATGATAGAAGAAAAACTTATAGAAATCACTACAGTAGAGCACTACCACAGTGCTCTTCAGGACGGGTGACTGCAGTGGACAAGAACTCTTACCAAATGTATTAAAATGGCTAATGTCACTTATTAATTTTGATCCACAAGGAAAACAGCTTATGATTCAGTACATGCTTTGTGAATGCAAAACATTGAAGCTTGGGTACCTAAATCCAGATGACAAACAGCATGGTAGAATTTCAGAAAAATACAAATATTCACTAGCCCTGAAAGCCAGGCTATTTTCATTTGAATTTCTACTTGCAAACATCATCATCTGCAGCATACTGTAGATGTATGCAAAATGATCTGAAAAGCTAATTTCATTTCAAGGTTGCATTCACTTTCCCAAGCAGTTCTGCGACAGTGTATTCTCTCTGCATATTCTTTGCATAAAACTATTCAAACATCCATAATAAAAAGGAAAATAAATGCGACTCCTGCACAATGTTTGGAAATGCTTACCAAAAGGTTCTCTGGTTTGAGGTCCCTGTGGACAATGTTCTTACTGTGAATATACACCAGGGCTTCACACAGGTCAGTGATCATGACAGCAGCATCGTGCTCTGTGAACTTCACACTTTCTATGATTGCATCAAATAAGTCCCCTCCTGGGACATACTCCAGGATTAGATAGATCTCAGCCTCCGTCTCATATACTTCAATTAAGCTTACTATATTGGGATGAGAAAGACTCCTAATGATCAGAATTTCACTTTCCATCATGTCCTCCTTCCCCTTCAGCTTGGATTTATCAACAATTTTCATGGCGTATATCTGATTTGAGTCACAGCGGCGACATTCCTTCACCACTGCAAAATTCCCATCCCCAATAGTCCTGCCAATCTCATAGTGGTTTTCTACATCAGTTCTGCTTTTTATAGCATGCCTTCGGCTGGTGATTTCCAGTCCCTGAGCCTTGTTTTCTTCCTTATTCAATCTACGCTCTCCTGTTTTCTCTCGTCGTGTCATGTCACTCTCCCTATGTACAGCATTTCCCTCCCTCCTGGCACATTCTTCTTTAGCCCTTTGTCCCTCTCTACCATCCTTATGCGTTTTAGATGGTTTCTCAGCATCCCTTGGAGTGTCTTTTATTAGCCAACCACTTTGGTTTGTTACACAGCTACTTCCATTTTCTTCCTTCATTTCATGAGCTATCTGACGCCCTTCTACAGCATTCTTCTTTATTTTTACTACTTCCTTCTCACGGTTTTCATGTTTCTCCAGATCCCTTTCCTTCTCAATGCTCCTTTTTTGTTTTTCCAGTCCTTCATTAACACTCCTATGTAGAGGCTTCCAGGTCCTCCTACAGCAGTTATCTTTCCAGCCAACGTCTTCATCCTCTAGAGGAATTTCTGAAGCTTTCTGGCAATTCCTGATTTTTGCATTTCTTTCTACGTGGTACCTCTGACACGCACGTGCATTCAGGTCTGTGCTGTCAAATGAAGCCTCCGCCTGCCTTTCCCTTTGCAACTTTTGCCTGGCCTGCCTTTCCCGTTCACACTTCTCACACCTCAGTACCTCCACTGAACTCTCTTCTAACCCTTTCTCAGGACTCCTATCTTGGTTAAGGTACCTCTCATCTTCTCGAGCTTTTCTAGAAGGCCTCACTCCTTGTTCACCATTCCAACTCCCTCTGGTCCACTTTTTTTTGGTTCTCATTTTTTCTTCTTGCCTCGTCTTGGATTGATTTTTTCCAGCTACCATTTTGGGAGACACAGCATCACTGCAGGTCTTGGCAATTTCCACCTCATCGAAGCCACCATCCACTTTTGAAGCTTTATCACACAGCCTGCTCTTCAGTTTTTGGGACTGCTCCTCGTTCTGCTGAATTGCACTGGCAGCATACGGATTTTCAGGACAAAGTTCTTGTATTGCCACTTCCAGGTTCTTCAGTGTAAGGGGCTCCCTGCCCAGAGCTATGAATGCATCACCTTCTCTGAAGAAGTCAGAAACACTTTGGATTTCTCTGCCCCTTAGACTGTAAAGCTTTCTCACACGATCATTCTTCCAATGTGGAAATCCCAGAGCTTCTGAAATGTCAGCCATCAGCTGTTCAAAGGTCTGCACTGATCTCCTGTTCAGAAGCAAGGTTATCTTTCTCAGCATATGCCCACAGGGTCTCACCACTGTAATAATCCTTGGCTTCACAGGACTGTGTTCTGAATGTACAGAGTGAAAATCATTCCGGGCATTAAAACATGAAGATCTACAACTGCTTGCATTCACACATTGCTTTCCACAGTTTCCACGACCAACAGGAGGACAAGTCCCACGCAGTTTCCTCTCTGTTACCTTTGAGCTTGCACTTTGTGACATATGCTCAAACATGCTTCGGTGTCCTAAAGCAAAGAAAGAGTGGGTATGTTATTCATTTTGCATCACTAGATCTTTATGAGTAATATTTCCTATGTAAGTGCTGAGGTTATAAACTCAAAGTCAGGATACTTGCATTCAGTGCTTCAACGAAGCCACTAAAAAGTAACTTCACACACAGGCAACTACAGGTGCTGTTTGTGAGGAAATACATACTTATGTTTGTGAGAAAACATAAATACAGGATTTACAACAAAGAGATTGTATTTAGAAAAAATACAGTGCCTAAATGCCTTCATCTGCTAAAAATCCCCCTAAAAAGAGGCTTACTTGTTTAACATCCTTTTACAAATTTACCTCCCACAAACTTACTAGTTTCCTTCCTGAACCCAATTACAATTTTCACCTCTAAACCCTGCAGCAAGTTCTATAGTTGTACTGCATGAATTAAAAGATATTAATTAGTTTTGTTTTCAAACTGCTATCAGACGAGTATGTGTGTGCAACCTTATACTCTTTATAAGTACCTCCCCTCTATGTTCCCTGGACCACTTGCTTAGTTTCTAGACTTCTATAGCAATTATATTAAGTTATTTTATAGTTATTTTTATACTATTTTTTTCAGTACTTTTATTGTATTTTTTTCCTTAAAGAAAGGCCATCTTAATTCTGTTTGATATTTTGGTTTGACATTTTCTTCTAAAAACGTAAGTAAAACTACAGAGTCTTGAATAACTTTCAAGGACAATGATTCTTCCAACATTTCACCTTTGAACACCAAAGAAAACACAAAGAAAATTCTTCACCATTCTTCACATGTATTAATGAAAAGGAAGATCTAAAAACACGATACATGGTTACGGCCAAGTCATCGCATAATTCAGTTTATAAACTCAAGAACAAGCTAAGAATATCACTGTAAGTATTCAGATCTCATGTACTTATTAAAACTTGATTGCCAGGCAATTCTTTTCAGTCTCAGGAAATAAATGTCTATGATGAGATCACAGAATGCTTCCAACTCCATTTAATAGTCTTATAATTCAGTAAGGAACAAACATTTAATGAATTTGAACTAACAGGCTCAACCCAAAGGAAAAGAATCACAGTGATTACTGTACTTTACCAGGAAATTCCCATGCTTATCTCCCAGAGAATCCCACCCACTTTTAATACATCATTATGACTACACAGCCACATGACAGGGTTACAATCTGCAAAGGAAAACTCATGCATTTGACAGCTCCTCTTGGGGCTACAGGTAAGACAAGTGTTCAAGAGCTCTAGCAAGCTGAAACCTATCATGTTTTGGTTTTCAACTGCTGAAATGCCATTTTCAGTATTTCAAGCTCTGTATTTTTTCTTTCTTCAAGGTAAAACAGAGTGAAAAGCACCTAGGAGAACCAAGAGATGTTGCTGCAGGCCCCCCCCTCTGCTACTGCCTACTGTTTAGTGCTATGATGCTGGCATTCCTTCGTTGTGATGCTCTCACCCCTAAGTGCTGTGTCCCCCTCAGCACGTCCCATAGCTCTCGGCTTCAATCCATCCCTCTGCCAAACAAATATGTATTTTCTTCTCCAGATAAATATTACGAAGACACCCGGCTGCCAGTATGCTGATCGAAGACGTAAGCAATTATATAAGAGCTATGTGACTAATGCTTGGTGGTGGCACAAGTTATTTCTGTCTTCATTCTAGTTTGTAAGGATGATCTTGTTACTGAAAGATGATAACGTGCTAGTAATTTTTAAAGCAGGTATTTACATCGTACTCAGAATAAAAGCCAATTGTGAATGGGGGGGAGGGGGTGAGTCAGATGTAATAATAGTTCTTGAAATATTAATCAATTTCAGGCTACGCTGGCTATCAGGAACTGCTGAAACTCTGAATTTAATCAGCGCTTTCAGATTCTTGTATACCCACTGTCAAAGCATCACCTTGCTTACAGGAACAGCACGTGACATTTTTACAGCTTATTATCTTGATGCAACACACAAACAATGCTGCACTAAGAACGACTTCCCATAGATTACGTTCCTCCCAGCTCTGTTAGCATTACCAAGCCTTTTGCAAACCATTCATTTTAAGTGCCTGGTTACACTGTTGATTATTTCAATTACATCAATAATGTTTCTTCTCTTCACTATGTCAGCTAAGCTTCAAATGGAAACCACATTTATTTTTTATTCTATAGCTAACAGAGCAAGAGCAGTTTTATTCAATTAAAACGAACAACCCAGGAACGTGCTTTTGTGCTTGTTAAGCTGCCTTCATTCCTAGCCAAAACAGCTTGACACAAATCATAAGTTAAAACACATATATAACCATTTAAGGAGTAAGAATATTATCACATCTTTTTCTAACAGGAAAAAAAGAAGTTACATGAATGCCTAAATAAACACAAAGTTATCTCCTACTGTTTCCTGAGGGAAGTGGGAAGTGCCAAACTTTGTCAAAGCGGTTGCAATGACTAATCTGTGTATTACATAAACTAAAAGATAATTTCAATTGCCTGTTGCAGCTATGCATTTTATTCATTTTCTAGTTAAGCAAATTTTAATTATCTGATGTGAAGCAAGCCCCAGTCTTCCAGGAAAGAACAACACAAAGCAACAGCAAACATTTCTAGAAAGCCTTTAAATATCCTTAATGAATCCTAAAGCTTCAAATCATATTGCTTGAAACCTCGTTTCTATATTTAAACAGAAGTGGGAGAGAAAGGAAGAAGGAGGTGGGACTAGAAACACACTTCAATGAGTCTGAGTGCTGGCAACTGATACATCAGAGAATAAAACTTGTTTTCCTTTTCACTGTCTTTGTGAGAGCTAATGGTTATTAAAATTTATAAGAAATAAGTGTATTTTATATGCACAAATGCATGCAAATGGAGTGGTTATTCTGTTTTGCTTTTTAACTATATACACTTGCAAACCACTAAGTATTAAAAAATAGGGCGATACAGAAGATGAAGGCAGAGACGTAGGGGAGCAGCAGGGCTGAGACTGCTGCTGGAAGGGCAGAAGCACTGTGTGTCCCACCTGAGCCATCCAAGCTGGCACTGAGAAAAGAAAACTAGGGCTCAGAGCAGTACAGCCTTCCAGATGAAGATGACATGATGGTCTTGTGGGGTAAATCGATCACATCAAGTCCTTAAAGGAGCAAGGAGGATGAGACAGAGGCATTTGAGGACCCAAGTACATAGCAGGAAGAGTTCAGCTGTCTGCTGACCATGGTGCAAGTGCTTCCTGGAGAAAATGTTGGTTACTGCATGGAGCACAGCTTCTGGGGTTCATTTATAAAAGCCAATTCAAAGCCCACTTGAAAAGTCACAGTCAATTCTAACGGGAGTGGAAGGTGAGTGTGAAGTATACGATGGAAAAGCATTAAATTTCCTTTAGAAGACCCCCCCTTGTAGGGGTTTGGTTCACTTAAGCACTGAAGAACATGCGCAACAGAGTTTGCCAGAGGTGTCCAATCATGACAATTAAAAATTTATTGCTGCTGTTTACCCTTCAAAAGTTACCCCTTCCTTTGGCTAGTCCAAGATTTGCTCATTAATTAAAATATTTCCACTCATCTTACATTCCTTCTTGGCTCTCCAGTTGGAGATCACAGTTTCAGTAATTAACTGAATGGTTTACCCAGCAGCTAATTCTGCTATCAAGGCACAGGTTGTCATGCAATTAAATTTTTACAAGGAGTATTACAACACAATTGAAAGCAGAAAGAAATACTGAGGTAAGACTGAGTTATGGCATCACATTCTGTGAGTAAAATGTTGCTACTTAAGCCCTGTACTTTATTTTGAGGACTTTGGATCCACATGAGAGTCTTCACTCATGAAAGCTCCCTAAAAAGTTATGAGGATTACTCACACAAATAAAGCTGCACATGATAGAAATTGTGTATTGGGAGTGGTTTTGATGTATTGGTCCCAAAACAGCATACTTGAGGCACTGTTTCAAAGAGGAAGTGAAAGAATAGCACTAAAAGCTGCCTTTCCCTTAGGCCCCAGAAATTCCTATTGATGATACACAAAACAAAGATGCCAGGGTGGGAGAACAGTCTCAATCTGAACCAACTCTTCAATTGTGCTGAAGTAATAAAAGCATCTTCAAGTAGTTGGGAGCAAAGAATCTCCTCAACCTTGAACTCAGAACAGCAAAGTGCATAACGGAACAGGTTACCAGCGTGCATCAGCAGCCAGATGCCCTGGAAGCCTGCTATCTTGAGCTCCTTTACTTGCTGGAAATCATTAAATGTTGCAAGTTTCAGGGCTAGCCTACACCGTTAATGTCCGAGACTGAAGCAGCAGCATGACCAGTCTTAAGGCACTAAATTAGTTACACGGAAACAAAATATGATCACAGGCATCCTTTTACAGCAAGTAAATTTTACATGGGCATTATTTACAGCTCTACAATTGGAAACACTGGTGTTAATTTTTTTTTTCTTCTCTCTCTCCCTAAATAGCCATAGCTCCCTGTCTTTTCTGCCTTCCTGATCACTGTGCCTCCCTGCCAGACTTTACAGCATTTTAAGAGATTTTCTTTGAGTCAAGAATTTATTACAGTAACAATGAAAGGCTGCTACCATGCATCAAATAACATCCTATGCAGAAAAAGGAAGTCAAAACTCACAAGGTGTGGATAGAGACAGTGTTAAAGACTGCAGGGCAATCCCAGCTGGCTCCTGAGAAAGCTCTAAAGGCTTACACGGCTGAGATCCAATGAAGGCCTTTAGGACTCAAGCATGCCTTAGCCCTAGCAGGATCAGGAATTATTTGTGAAATGTGGGATAAAGCGGCCTGGAAAATGGGTTAAAAATGGAAGTTGACAAGGGAGGAATGCAGAAAAAAAAAAAAAAAACCAGAACACCACCACAAAAGGCAATGGGATGTAGAGTTTGTAGGGAGAGAACAAGATTGGGAGTAGGAAAAGGACCTTGCTCTTCTGATATCACCATTCAAAAGCCAGCCTCCAAGTAGCTGAAGAAGGAAACCTAGCTGAAGTTTGCTATGAGACAA